CTTCCGACAACCGCGGGTCTCGGGCTTGTGCTTCCAACAGGTGTCAGCCCGGCCTGGGCCCCCCGCGGGCTCTGGCCCCCTTGGGGGGGCGCGGGGGTCGGGAGCGAGCGAGCGGTTGTCACCTCTCCTCTGCTAACGGGCAGGTCCCGAAGGAGCCACTTGACACAAACACCGCCCTGTGCAGGATCCTCAGTCCTTCCCAACGCCGAATTTCTGTTCCGTCGTGGCCTCCCGGCTCAGTTTCCTTTCTCTGTGACAGCCGTGGTACTGCTGGCAACTAGGGGTAGGATTCGGAGCTGACTTTGCAGCTGCTTTGGATAACTGTCCTTCATGTGATCGTGACGGGTTCAAACGGGAAAAATTTATGCGGATTTAATGTGTCATCGAAGTAAGTGCCAGAAAAACCTGCAAATGGTTGTCAGAGGTATCTATTAACTATAATGAAGGATTTAGAGTCCCAAGTTACTATTTCCTTCTTGTTTTATAACCTATATGTACCAGTGGGGTTTTTTTTGGGGGGATAACCAATCTTTGTATGGTTAAATACTTTAAAATCGAACTTCTGTAGCCATTCACTCAGCTGGGCCAAGGGGCAGGCGATAATCTTTCATTGGATTGTCGTTGTCACCTGAAGGTTAAGGAAGAGCTTGTATCTTAACGAGTGACTTTTCCATTTCTGTTTTGGAACACAAATTTGTATTTGTTGAACTCCTTTTGATCTTGAATCAGGAAGGTTTGACAGTAACATTTACAATCCTTTTATTTAGATTAATATGTAATGGCCAGTTCAAGACCTAGAGCCCTGTGACAAGTATTGTCTTGGGGTGCTTGCAGTGTGGACCTGTTATATGATGTAGCCCTGCAGTGTGGAGATAACTGTTACAGATAAATTGACTTGGAGGACGCAGGGATATCCTGGCTGCGATGTTGTGGAGAAGCTCCTGATGTAGGAGCAAAGCAAAGGCTTGAGGTGATGAGTTTGGTACTCAACAGAGTACACGGGGATAAAAGAAGGTCAGGTGATGTTAATTTTTCAATTTTCCTTGATCAGCATAATGAGAAGGACAGTCTGGTTTGTTAGTCATTATTACCTGGATTGAAATCACCTTCTCATCTCATGTGAACTTCACTGTGACGTAATGGTTTTGGCCAAGTTCAGAATAGTGGGGTAGTTTTCTCTGCAGATGTGCCTAGGTTTGTTTTAATGATAGGGTTGGTGAGGTCAGTGTGAATATTCATAGCAGTAAAATTAAATAAGCTGTGTTTACAAAACTGGGGCCTTTGAAAAGTGCTTGCACCTCTTGGTTCTGTAGGGATAGATCCGTTCTCCCGGATAGCTGTTGGGGTTTTGATTTGTGTATACTGAAATGGGTGAATCTGAGTATGGAATGGACATAGTTGCCAATAGAACGCCCGTTTCGTGTGTGTGTTTGTGTGTGCGGGGGGGCGGGTGGCGTTAAAACTCCTGGCTTATCTGGCTTTTTGCTGCAGCAGTTTCCTGACTTTGCTGCCATCATGAGCAAGCTGGTTCTTGATTGTACAGCTAACAGAATTTATTGCAGGCTTCACCTGTTTACTTGTACTACTCTCTGTAGTACAACCCATCACCATTTTTGAAAAACTTATTTTTTATAAGTAGTTTTTAGCCTAGTGTTGCGGTAATCCTGTTGCAGTTGCAAAGCAGAACAGTGTGCTATTAATTGGACGACAAAGTATAAAGGTACAGTTAATTGTTCTCAAAGTTTTGTATTCAGTGCTTATCAGATGCAGGCTGAACTGATAACAGTTTGCTGTGTGTGTCAGTGTTAAGACCTGACCTGATAAATTGTTTTATAGTATTTTGTATCCTGCAGGTATGGTCCAAAATGTCTTCTGGCTTAAAAAAATTAAAAATATTATCTTTTTAAAAGCTTTCTCAGTTGTCATGGATTTATGAAGGGCAAGTGTGTGTAACCAACCTGATGGTCTCTCAGGAAGAGGTGGCTGGGGGGAGCAGCGAGCCAGCCTCAGCCATTCTGCAATTCAAATTCATTTGTTAGATTAATGATAGGTTAAGAAAGCAAAAATATTTTGCATTTGATGCCTTTGTAATGATTCAGAACTGACTCTGAAAATTACTGACAGACCTTCAGAAACGAGCAGGATTTAATTGACATAGCAAACTTCAATGACCATTTGTATTTAATAACAGAACTATTTATTCACCATCTGTTTAAAGAAAGGTGTGATTGTCTAAATAGGTGGGTTCCGATTGTGAAAGGTTTCTATAACTTTGGGTAAAGCACTTAATGAATTAATGAGGTAGGGAGAAGAAAATTTTCTCAATCCCCAAGTATTAACTAGAAAAGGTCATTTGTAATTAAATCTAAACCCATCAGATTTTTATAAAGTGCATTGGATTATTCAAATGGAAGCCATGATGTCACAGAAATGAGCCTTTACCATAAATATGTGATTGTCTTTATGTAAATGGTTTTAGGAGGGGTGTTACAATGCTTAACTAATGTCTTTTTGAATGAAGGATTCTGTATGTGTGAAAAATATTAGGCATAAAAATTGCCGTTCACTTGAAAATATGCAATCCCCTTAGAAGGTTTGTCCTGATGTCATGGATGGCAGCCATCTCTGTACTTACTGGTGGCAAATCTGAATAATAATGTCATTTAAATTCTGCTGAAAATACAGAAAAATGGCATTAACATGTGGTAAACATTGATAGGGAGAGGAATGATTTATTCTTAACCTGTCTGAGTTGCTTTGTTGGAATATAAGTACAGTCACATTTGTTTAAAAGCAGATGTTCATTTGGCAGCCTCTAATGGTTCGTTTTGGAGCTGTTACACACTGAGAGCATATACGATAAAGAAACAATCAATTCATAGATGGGGGTTTTTGGTAGATTCTTTTAGCATCCACATGTATCCTAAGATTAATTCTTTATAGGTGTGTGCTTCAATTGAAATAACTGCATTGGGAACGAGCTCTTCTTGGCGTTTGCTGTGCTCTGTTAAGACGGAGGTAGACTTACTTATCTTCCTACTTCTTTCCCAAAAGACACCTTTCTCCTGGCCTGCCTTGTGCCCTCCCTGTGTACCTGGACCTGTCTGCCCCGGGGAGCGGGCTCGAGTGCAGCCTGGGGCTCGCCGTACTCTGTCGGGGCTTTCTGCTCGTGCAGCCTGCAACATCCATAGCCCTGCTGCTCCTTAAACCCTTCCTCCTGTACCTACCTGCTGAAATACTTGAGGGCAAGGAAGTCTATGTAGGGATCAGGTGCTTACGGGCCACAGCTGTTTCT